CCAGGGGGGAGTAGAAATACTCCTAGTCGTTTCATGCTACAGAAACCGGGATAAGCTCCAGCCTGATGGGCCACTTGACTCGCATGCAGACTTTACCTACCTTACCTAAGAGCCATAATAGATGTAAGAAAAGTTAGCAAGAGAATTGTTACTTTGTACTTGCAGGGGTTTCATTAACGTTTTCAGCAGGGGGGCAACTAATTTTCACAGGTGGCCAAGGCTATTGCAACTGAACTTCTTTGTAAGAGAAACTTTCTGCTAGATGGTCAAACCCACTGGGCAAAGTTGTCCTCGCAGCTGGTCAATTTGCCCGGTGTGCAGCCCTTGATGAAACCCCTGTACAAGTTAATTTAGCATCACTTAATTCAAGGCATACATGTAGTTATTGAATTCAAAACAAACCAAACAACAATTGTTTATATTTCCTAGCTAGAAGTGCCAGAGAAGATACCTGTACGTACACTTGAAATTGGGGAAAAGTACATAAATTTATATTACAGTACCAGGATTGATGATGGTGAAAAATTTCAACTTACTTGAAAAATATTTCTGGAGGACATTTAATACATCATGTCTTTTCATAGCCACAAGTGCCAAAACAAGCTCTTCAAATGTCAAGTCTGGCTCCCAGTTTTCAATACTTTTAAACAACAGTTTAGTTGGGCTGTTACTGTCATCTGTTGGCTCAAAGATCTTGCATTTCTCCTGGGGAATTTTAAGCTCCTTTGCAAGATGTCGCCAGTGAGGGGCAGGAGGATCTTCATTCAGAAGGTCTGTTATTTNGTGTTCATGAACATATAAAATAAACAAGGAAAATTCCCTCAGATTCCGATAATGGCTGCCATCACCAAAATCCAACACTGACAGCACAAAATGGCAAAGCCTATGGCGACTAAATGGAGAAGAAAGATCCATCGCCAAGACGACCTCATATGGACTGCCCACATGCTCATGTCTATCACGTGTCTTAGTAACAGTACCAGTTTACTGGCCGTGACATGCTCCTGCAAAAATCAAGCGGGGTGGCCATTTTGGTGTCCCTACAGGAATGCGGATTTTTCTGCATATAACCATGCACAGGACAACCAACTCCAGAAAGCCACAGGTCAAAATAAGATTTGCGTTTTCTGAACGTAATTAAGGTTCACATATCCTTCAATGTACATGTACAGCTTCAAAGACGATATTTAAATATCTCCTACAGTACAGATAAAAAATTACATGTACATGTAATACCTGGAATTCCAGCATTCTCTAAGACTTGAACAGCATCTTGTCTGCCAATAGAGACCAAGCAGCCTTTCAAGTGCTCCAAGGTCAACTCAGGATCAAATATTGGAATGTACTTTAACAGCATCAAGGATGAATTGTGTCTCTGATGAGAACCGAAGTTTCTCAATACACGCTGTGGTACGCTCAGCTGAAGTGCCAGACCTCTCCAGTCATTTATGCTTTTTCTATCAAGTTTCAATGCCATCCGACCAAGAATGTCTGTGTCATCTCTTTCCACAAGGCTGCCAACAACACTTTCCTTGCTAATTATCCCACCTAGTGGATTAAAATACACACAGTCAGATAATTATATGCAGTTGAAAAGACAAGTCAAAATGACTACAAGTTTCCATTCATGTGAGGAGATCACCCTCCAGCAGGCATACCCCCCCCCCAAAAAAAAATAACCTATAGATGAGGTCTTTTTCACGTTATTGTAAGTTTTTGGATGGATCTGGAATGTCTTTCTCTAGCATGAGGTGGTTCTTGGAGATGTTACTCGATATCAAGTAACCAATAATATTTAATACACCTGATGGGAGTAAGGGACTGGGATCTAGAAAAGTGACGAGCCCAAAATTACAGCAGACCTACATTATTAGGCCCCTGCGCCTCCCACCACCACCCCAGGTCTGCCACACCCCAATCAAACTCCTCCTGATGCTAGGTTAAGGCCCTCCAGCTTCTCAACCAATGATTTTCCAGAGTCCATTCCACAACAAAACAACAACAGCCATTATTGATATTCTCTAAACAACTAACAATTCTTCACACAAACCTGCAATTTTTCTGTCTAGTAACTGTGCTACTTCATGTCTGTCAATATCTCTGAGGGCCTCCTGAATATCTTGAATAGTAAGCTGAGGTTTTGTTGCTGCTAAAAACACAAACAAGTCTTCAGTTGGACTTGTCGCTGAGAAGGTACCACAGTGCTCATATGCCTCTGGTGGAATATCCAACAATTCAGCCAGGTCTCTCCAGCAAGGTACTCGTCCATGTTGGTATTCTGTGTCCAGGCATTTTCCAAGATCTCTCAGAATGGGAGGGTTGTTGGTGATTGTCTCAGTCAGAAGAGAATCTGCAACAAAGCAATATCAGTTGATGAAAATAAAAACTTATGGAGTACACAGTATGTGCACCCATGCAACTGTATACAAAGGAAACAAGAAACACTGAAATGTCATTCAGTTCACAAGCATGTGAACAAAGATCTCAAGGAACGAGAGGTTTGTCGTAAAAAAAATTCAGAAGAGTTTCTACAACAACAACAAAAAAACAGTTATTTTGGTGAAAAAGCAAACAAGTAGAGAGTACACATATGTAACCATTGTACATATATACAAAGTGTACAAAAACACAACCAGATAATCACATGTATGTACCTGAAAATGATGCCACTTGTTTAATTATGATTATAATATTTAATGTAGAAGTTCAAATTCCCATAGCAAAATTGATGATTAAAATTAAATCAAAAACCTAACTAAAAAATCAAATTCATGTACCCACCTAAAAAATGTTATTCACAAGGCTTTTCTATTCACTTAGAACCAACAAAGCTTAAGGCTAAAAAGACTAGGTCTAGAGCTCTCCTGACCAGCACTTACATTACTAATGATACGCATTTTGTTCAAAGTAAGATTAAAATTGTGTTAAAATGAATTTGCCCATGGGGATTGAAGTAGGGTCAAAATGTTCCTACACAACAGTAGCAAAATTGCAAGGATTAATTTGAATGGTTCAAAAATATCTTGTACTAGTGATGTCAGCCAATAACAAGTTAATGTTGGTGTGCCTATTCAAGTTTATGTATCATATGGGCACTGTAGACCAGACTCTAATAATGCCGTAGACCAGACTCTAATAATAAAGTCTGCTATATAAATATGTTGTATTTACAGTTCTAACCTGCATCAACTCTTTGCAGAACAAGTGCATCATCTAGGGATGAAACTCCACACACTTCCTTATCAACTGCATCAGCATGCATGACATCACTAGAAGGTTCTATGACAGTTCTGATATCCTGCCCATCTATTCTCTTTTCCAAGGTAACAACATTTGAAGAAGGAGTATCTTCAATGGAATTGTGACAAACTTCCTTGGCAACACCCTCAATTTCATTTGCATCAGGTTGCAAGATAGCTCTCACATCCTGTCCATCAACCTCCTTTTCCAAGGAGGCAACATCAGAGGAAAGACTGTCTTCAATGGGACACTTGTCCACCTGCACTTCTCCAGTGAGATCATGTGATTCAGCTGTGCCTAATTCATTCTGGTTATGATCAGAATTTTCACATATTTCAGCTGAAGCAAATGCTTCCTCAGCTAGTTTGAAAAATTCTTTATGTGTTTTAACTGCCTGATCTCCATCAAATCTTGGAGAACACTGTCCAAGTTCTGCTTCAACAAGTTCATTAAGATCTTTATGCATAACGTCTGTGTTTTCTTCAGCATCTACTTGATCCAAAGTCAAAGAAACATTTGCATCACTTACTTCTGCAGATTCAGTTCCAGGAAGATCAGTATCATTGTCCATATTTGATTGGGAATCTTTTATTTCTTCACCTGTCATTTCATCAGTAACTTCTGTGGAAAATGAACCTTCCCCAGAAGAATTTTGTTGGCAGAAATCCTCAGAAACATCCTCTTGGAAGCAGTGGCTTTCTTTTAAGTTGTCAGCTTCCTCACCTTGATTTACATCATCCCCATTAGCAGGTGTAACACAAATAGAGACTTTAGAGTTTTCTAATAAAGTATTAAATGTCCCTTCTGAATAATCAGTCACGTCTTTGTCATCCAGTGTTACTAATGTTGCATTACCACCTTGTAAATTCTCGACACTGGTTTCTGTGCCCACATGTGTATTTGGCTTTTGAATAGAATCTGTTTCATTGTTTTTGTCTTCTGGCATGGAGCCAACCAAAACAACAGGTTCATTCTCTGTATAGATGCAAAAACTGGAATCATCAGTTGCCAATTTTTTTTCATCGCCTCCCAAGTCATCTTTGCTGGTTGGTACCATTTGTCCATCTTCGTTATCTGATGAACATTCAATCACAGCTTCTCTAATGTCTCCTTGTTCTTTGGTGGCAACTGAACCTTCATAATCAGAAGATACAATCCCTCCACTGCTACACACCAAATGATCCTGCTCTGCAATTTCCTCACTTGAAGTGTCTACTTGTTCAGTGGTTTCCATTTCTACAGGCTTCATTTCACCTACTAAAAAGATATAATAAAGATTCCCATAACAATATTTGAGAGAATAACTCTCACCATTTTCTGCATAAATTTATGGAAACTAATTACTTTGGTGACCAAACAAATCTAGAGGAACCCACTGTCCCTTACTAACCATGAAGGGGAAAATGCCATACATGTACGAGACTGATGTTAGCTATTAAACTGGCTGAGTCTAACTGATTGTAAGCCACCAAGATGTTTTTTCATTAATTCAGTGTTATAAGATAGTTTTCTGGGTTTGTCAATTGAATCTTGAGCATTTCTTTGAAGTTTCCTCAAGTAAGTCTGCCAGAGCAATGCACTCAAAGAAACTTTACATTGAACCTGTGAGACTGAATAGTTGTAAATATTCCTATTTTACTGGCTTAGTCCATGGAACAGTCTGCTAATTAGGGATGTATTAGCAAGCCAAAAGCTACCATCCTTTTCAAATCCAAGTTGAAACCCCATTTTCAAATCAAACGATTTATTCAATGACATTTATTTTCGCATTTTTTGTTTTTTAAGGAGTCTTTTTTATACATGTAGGGTTATAACTTCGAGGCTTTCTTTTAAGACACATTTCAGCTTTTGCTTCACTTCTGTTAACATTATTCTGACTTCTAATACATAACAGTAAAACCTCCACCAACGCCAGGGAAACCCTGTAAAGTAACACCTGCTATAAGACAGTGAGAATCAGACTAAGAGGCAATTATCTGGACATGGTGTACAAGTCCCAAACAGCAATAGGCACTAATTTACATTGCAATTCCTCTTTAAAAATTAAAACGTTCAACATGTGCTATCAAAAAAATGTAAGCTCATGATACTAAGAAGCTACAGTGTATGTCTAAAAACACTAGCACAACAAATTAAGTACCTTGAATGACAGTGACTAAATTGTTATCATCCCTTGTAATGCTACTTCCTGAAAGTGAGCTCAAAGCAGTCTGTTCAATCTCTGCATTTGAATTTATGAGCCTCTGAGTATCTGAGCTTGGACTAATACTTCTCTCAGCATCTTCCATTTTAACAGGGGCTTCCTCCACAGTAACAGGAAAGTTTGATTTATCTTCTTCTGGGCTCTCCTCAAAGTTGGATTTTACATTTGCAGTACTACCATTACTAGAATCCAAAATATTTCCACTTTGTACTTCATCAGTTTCGCATGGAGCACCAGAAGTAACATTATCTGTAAAGCCTTGGTCTTCTTGCGATATACCAATGCTACTACCTTCATCAACAACAGGCAATTCAGATTTTGCAGAATTTGTCAATTCCCCATGTGGGAGAAACCCTTCTGAGGACAGACTAGCATTGTTATTGTAATGCAACACATCATCTTTTGAACATTTCACACCATGACTGTTTTCATCACAAAGAACATCAGATTCAGGA